TGGCTCCAGGAGCAACTGGGTTTCCCACTTGGTTATGCCCACCTTTCTTCCCTGCTGTTGCTTTTCAAGCCCTCTCTTCCCTCCCAAGCAGTGTTTAGTTCTCCCACCTCTCCCTCCTTCCTTTTTTTTTTTCGATCCCTACCTCTACATTGTGGCTTCTATTAGTTTTATACAGTCAGTGCCTCTCTGCACGCCTTGCTAATCCCGTGCAAACCCCTGCCCCGTTCCGCGAGCAGAGCTGGCCTTTTGGCACAGGCGTACCAGTCTCATCGTTTTCCATAGTTACTAAGACGGGGGGTAAATTTGTTGGGGAGGGGGAAGTGAACAAGGCAGATATCATCTACCGCGCTTCGTATTACATGACGCAAAAGATTAACAAAAGTTAAATTCTTTTCAATATTAAGAGATACCAACTTGTTATAGATCTGATTTTACAAGCAGCAGCACAGGGATGGGCTTATTAACATCTCATTAACAATGCCTATTTCAGTTTGCATAAAAAACTGAAGACTTCTGAAGCACAGTAAGAAGGAAAGCCTTTAACTATCCCGTTTCTCACAGGCTGCAAGTTGCAAAGTATGGAGGAAGCTGATAATGCTCTTTCAGTTCCTGAGGACTTCAGGCAGCTCAGAAAATAGTTATACGGCAGCGGTAAACATCATTAATAAGCTTACTAACAGCTGGCTGAAAAGCTAAAGACAAACATCTACAAAACTGTTGAAGCATAAAATAATGTAGAAACACCTGAAGATACATCTGTTAGACAAGGAGGTGTCCGGCATGTGAGGTTAGTCACTAGTAGCTTTGGGCACTGTGGAGGAATTGGCTAGCTGTGTCTCCCAGTATGGGAATACTTGGAACACACCCGATTAGATTTTGCAAGAAGTTGACAAAAGAGATGCAGATGTATTTATGGCTTCTACACACCACTGGTCACAGATCGCGTTTGTGTTCTTCACCACAGTAGTTCAAAAAGCGATTAAACGAGCGGCGCTCAACCCTTAGCAAAAAGGGACTGCTATGGTATACTAAGATGCCTCTAGTAATGGCGTGCAGGAACAATAACTAGGCCTAAGTTCTCTTTCAGATCTCTTCCCTGATACAAGATTTATTAACTTGAGCTGTATTTATTGGCATCCAACTGCAGGGAGAAGACATGTCTCCAGTTGGCTGTGAAAGTTTTCATCATCCTTAAGCACCAGGAAAGGAATTTCCAGATCCAATTAGCAAAGCCTCCGCCCCTACAGCCTGAGCAGTTGTGATGAGTATCATTAATCACTCTAGCAAATGAAGCGTTCAGCACCCTCCTGGTAGGAACAGGTTACTAAAAACATTCCTCATTACAATTCCTATTTAATATTACATTGCAATACATCTGGCAGTAATGTTTGGGTTTTATGTTTAACTAAACCACGTGTACATGCAGTTGGTTTAAGTATAATGTAAAATACCTCTATATTTATCTGTCTTTATCAGCTCTCCTTCCCCGTGACCTACCAGTAAATAAATATTGCATCAGATGCCTGCATATATTATATGCAACCTGACTCATTGCATCACACATTCATGCTAAACCTGCCTAAAACAGCAAGTAACAAACAGCAGCGTAAACAGAGGATCTTCACAACTGTTTCCTTTTTGGCTCCATGCCTACTCTTGCACTGGAAGAGCTGCTGTACTAGAGAAATTGGTTAATGTTTGCTCTTGCACGTCTCATGGCAGACTAAGACACGCAAATAGTAGAAATTAATATTCACAAAAGAGCCATCAGGGGAGAAGGAAAAGTCTTCCCTAAGGTGTGCTGTTAGAGCGTAGTGTGTTTGACTGGCACTTAGGCTCCCTTTTCTTCACGGGGAGAAATACGAGATGCATAATCTGTTTGTACTCCTGACTTTTCCCCACCTAATTAGAATGTTGTTTCAAGGGATTCCTGCGCTTAAGTAGGCAATATAATCCAATAGCTTTACATAGATATGGTCTGGGTTATACCATCTTCCAATATAATAGGCTTCAAAGTAGAAACTAATGTTGTCTTCCAGAGGGGCAGGAAGGAAAGGATACAACCAGAGACTTCTGAGGACTGAAAGGCATGTCTCACAGCTGATCTCACAGGAACGGACTTGTCTACAAGACCTTACGTAATCAACAAAATGAACTGAAATGTGACTCAGTGCCACCAAAAAAATTCAAGAGATGGGGAAGGCTTATAGCTTCAGTGGTCAGGGCCCAGCTTTGAACATTATTGTACAGTTGAACAGTGAAAAAAGACATTTTGCAGCCTCAGCTGTTTAGTCTCCTGTTCTGCTACTGTACCGAGTAATGCCAGAGAAGACTGCTGAGATCACTGCTCCGCTGCGAACCAGGTTAATGGACAGCTCCTAAATACAGTGAGATCCTCAGATGAAGACAGGCCAGGGAAGTCCATCTACACCTCCTGCTTGTATATTTATGGCTTTGGCTGAGCTCTGAGTGCAGCGTACCTGAGAAGGTAGAAGAACAAAGACTGGGATTTTCAAGGGGAACTCAAGGCTTTCTCCATCCTCTGAAACAGTGAAGTGTACACATGATAAGCCAAGAGGGCCTCTCCGTGCTGTAGTCACATGCTCTGTGGAAGCTGTAATCTCACAAGGACACAGATATGGCCATGCAAATATGGGTTATGCCTATACTAACAACTGGCATATGTCCCTAGGGCTCCTAAACGGCTTTTAATCTAGCTGCTAACGTGCATGAAAGCTTGTGCTAAAGCAGCTTCATTTCTCTTGTGTTCCTGTTAGCCAGGAACACACTACCCTTCGATACTCTGACTTGAGAGGTGAGGACATAAGCTAGCAACTTCTTGGTTTAAATCTTTGGAGGTGAAAAGGAGAGGAGCTGCCTGCCACACAGATGTCACAACTGCAGGCAGCAAACACGGCAAGAGGGTGGTTGGTAACAAGCATTGAGAAACCAGCTGTATTTTCAACATACCCTTCAACGAATCCACCTCCAGTATAATCCTCCCAAGAACCAAGCTGAAGCTAGCATCTATGCATTTATTCATGCTATCACCACTGCTTCACTCTGCATAGCTTTCCTTGTGTTAAGTAACACATAACGTAACGTAAAATCCTAGTACAGGCTAAATAAGTTGTAACATACCTCAGATGGTCAAAGCAAACCTAACTGCAAAGCTTTGGAAGATAATTGCCTTTGCATCTGCTCAGCACCAGCCTGTGCAAGGCTGCTTCGTCCGAGAGCTGACAGCAAAATTTCAGACATGGGGGAGGCAGAAAGCAGACACAGGAGAGAAAATGCCGCAAACATCTTAAGGGGAGGGCTTGTCTTAATGGATCTTTGTCGTTATTGGATTCAATCGTGGGTAAAGACCAAGCTTCCCTACGACAGCCTGGAAATAAGAACCCACCTCTGTTTCGAGGCCCATCAATAGGTTCCCAAGGCCACTACCTGCGCCAGGCGTTTGGCCCCGCGGGTGCTCAGCGTCGCCGGCTGCACAGAGGAACGCTTGACCAAAAGCACCCGAACTTCTGCCAAGAGCAGTGCCTGTCCCTCCGCACAGCCGTGCCCGGGGGGACCTCAGAGAGAGGGGCCTTTGTACGGCCCTCAAGATGACTCCCGGTGCCAGAAGCGACCTGGCACAGGAGCACAGCTGAATCACAGCTGCAGCAATTACACTAATTGTCCAAGGGACAAAACAATTGCACTTGTCTGACTGGTCAGGGCATGAAGGGAGCCCGACACATTTTTCTTTGTGAAAGCATTTTGCCTTCAAGTAAATTTCCAAAACAAAGTTCCCTTAACTCCAACCATTTCCAGACTTCTTCCTGGCAAGTGTAATTTTTTCTTTCTAAAAAGGAGAGCTTTAAAAGAGATGTTACCCAGGAGAGTAAGATCTCACTGCAGTTGGCTTTCACCACCGTCTGTGGAGGAGATAACCCTGAATTTTCATTACACTGTGATGGGAATTGAGGTCTCAACTCCAACCAGCTCCCTGAAAAACACCTAGGGTGCAGTCCAGGGTCCCTTTTCCTGGTTGCACCTCTGTTCGCCCTCAAATGGGACTGTCTCTGTTACAGAGATCATCCCCGGCCCACGTGCCTCGGGGCCGACGCTCCCATAGCACAGCTCAGCAGGTACAGTGGGAGAGTTGGAGAAAGGCCCATCTGGAACTTGCTGGTGCACAAGCCGTAGAGGAAAATTGCGATTGCTCACACCAGAGGCTGCACCCACACTTGCAGGTAGCCAACACGGCGCACGCGACTCAGAGAGCTGCACTTCGCACCAGAGGCCAAAATAATCCAGACTGATGCACAGTTACAGGTGCTGGCCTCGCTGCAGGTGCAAACTCAGCACCATCCAAGAGCCCCAGAGACTCCACCAAGCTCCCACAGGCGCAAACAAAGCAAAGCAAGGGACATTTCCCTCCCGCTGCCCACGGGAGCTGTTGACGGCATTGAACATCCTGACCACTACCAGCAAGGAGAAAACCCAGGGCTTTCTGCCTGTTTCTTTAGGACCACGAATCAATGGCAAAACTGATGGGGAAGGGCGACTCTGCCCCAGAGGGCCGCAGTGTTGTGGGGCTGGAGGGCCCCAGCAGCCTCCCAGTTGGCGGAACTCGGAACCGGTGTCTGGGCACCCTGGTCACCTTGGTCACACCCAGCGTGTTTTGGTCCAAACACAGCTCTGTGGCAGTTTCCCCTTCCTACCTGGTGCTAGTGAGGCCCCAGGAAAGGGCGAGGGGGTCTGTGTCCCATGGAGGAGACGGGCTTTAAGGATGAAGTGGACAGAGCCAGGGCAAGGGACGGCAGCGGGGACGGCACAGCCAGCCAGGTGAGCACGGGCAGGGAGATCGGCACATAGCAAGAGCAGAGTCCAGCTTCAATTTCACCTCTGAAATGTGGTTTGGGATCAGATTTGCAGAGAAGGAATCTTCCAAGGGAGGAGAGCATGCCAGAGAGGAAAGGACTTCTCTTCCTACACACTCCAGCATGTTTTAAAAGGCAACATAAGCTTGCATTTAAGTCAGTTATATAAATGTTGCTTTCCAAAAGATGAGTGGAGAAGTTACCTACAGAAATGTTGACACAGGGAAAACAGTCGTTTCCCTTTGCAAGAGAAAATATGAAAATATCCCCCTCCCTGGACCAGGGAGGTGCAAGTTCAGTGGCTGAGGATTTTCTTTTGTTTTCAAGCTGGTCAGCCCTGGTACCTTTGCCATCAATAAAAGCTGCGGATGGAGCAGCGTGGTGTTACAATAAGCCCATTGTAACCACATATTTCCATTTAACAAGTGACTGCCAACCCATATTTGATTAATGCCATTAGGAACAAGTGGCCATTGTTTACCTTGCAATTTATTAGAGGTAGCATTTCTAAAAGGGACTTCAAGTAGGCACATAATTTTTATGGACTTTCAATTATAATTGAATACCTAGCTTCATTAAGCACTTCTGAAAACCCAATCTGAAATGATTTGGCAGGAAGAGAAATGGTTCTGAGCCTTAGGACAGTTTTTTAAAGAGAGCATTCAAGATCTGCATGAACTGGAAGACTAACCTATGGCTTTGGCAATTTGTAGACCGCAGAGGAGGAGCTGGTTGGCACAAGAAAGGAGGCAGCCTTTGTAACGGGCAGCGAGAGTGCTCCACCATGCAAAATCCCGCTCATCTGCTGCGCAGACGGCCTTGATCAGGACACCTTTAAAATTGTGAGATACTAAGTAGAAAATTTAGCAATGGAAGAAGTCAGTGGCATCTCAGGTTCTTGAGAGAGAGGGAGCAAACAACACCCAGGAGTTTGGCAGAGGGATCAAAAAAGCAGGACAAGACACTTCGTTCCGTAGCTTTCTTCCACATCTGAAAGTTTTTACCTCATCATTGATTTCATTACCTGGACATCACACTTCCAGTTTAAAAAAAAACAACAGCATAAAACCACAAAAAAACCCCAAAACAACAACAACATCACATTTTATATACACTGTTCAGTTTTTTGAAACAAGTACTGCTACATTATTATTCCACGTGACGCCATGCGCTCCCTGGCCACGGTGGTATGGTTCCTCTGCATCACTTACACCGCAGCCACAAAGCTCCATCCCATACCATCCTCCCTCACCATGGGATATGACCTTCCCGTTCCTGGTGCGTCCTGGCAGAACCCCACACAGCCCCATCACAGCCCAGTACACATAACAAGCCAAAAAAAAGAGACGGGTAAAAGGGAGGGCACCCAGACACAGCATTTGCTCCTGCGTCACATGCAAAAGTTTGCAACACATCCCAGGTTTGGCCACAGGAGAAGCAGAGTGAGAAAAGCAGTAAAGCAATTCCCTTTCCCCCTCCCTGCAGAACAGCAGCTGTTTTGTAGACTGAAATGTATACCTTTTGCCCTACAGTGTTAAAAAGGAATTTCCAGTCTTGGAAATCCCTCCATTCCCTTTTCAAGTCACCTTCGACATGCTTCGCCCGGGGTGTCGCCAACCTCGGGACGTGCAGAGCGCTGGGAGCTCCTGACAGAGGTCCTGCCGGAGACCCACATCAGCTCCCCCATGTCCGCACAGACATGCTCACCAAAACGCAGCGCTCCTTCAGTTCTTTCCCAGCCAGCTATTTAATCAGTTTGTTTAGTGAAAAGGAATGCCTGAGACCTGGATTTAAAGTGCTGAACACCTATGCCAACGCTTTCGTTACAGTGCAAGGAGCTTCTGAGACCCTTTAAGAAGTCACTTCGGAAACTCCATTTGCCCCAGCACCTCTCCATAGAGAAAAAACTGAAGTACATGAAGGAAAGTTTGACCATAATCGGGGACCGCATCGATCTGTTTCTGCAGCGGTACTGCAGAGCCTCGGAAGTTGAGCATTGGCAGAAGTAAGGGTCTCCTCTTGCCCGGCAGCGGTGGTACCGCACCGGCGATGCTCCCAGCGGGCATTTAGGCGCCTACTTTGGCCCTACGTTTCCAGGCACTGGAAATGAGATTGGGTGTCAACAGCAGACTTGTGCAGCTTGCTCTAACTGCTGAATGCTCACAGATTTTGCAGATAATTTTAGCAGGGGCCATATGGCACTTACTCCTGCCTAGCACAAGGCCAGTTTTGATGTGCTGTCCATCAGCAACATCCCTTTGCAAGTAAAGGGGCTCCTACATGGCCACCTGAGTTAATGGATAATCCTTCCCATGCTTAGGGAAGAACAATTCTTTAAAAGTTTATACACTTGGGGGGGAGGCGAGTGTGGAAGAAAAAAAGTTGTGGTTATACTTGCCACGCCAGAACTAGGGAGCAGGATGAGGAAGAGGATGAAGTTTGTACTCGCATGCATAATCCATGTGTCTGTCTTTTCCCCAAGGATGTTCTGGCGGTTTGTCTCGCTCTTCTCAGAGATGGATGCAGAGCAGCTGCAGAAGCTGTATAATTACATCAAGAACAATCAAATGGATGAGTTTCTGGTAAGCAAACAGGAAAGTTAATACCCCACAGGGCGTTCTTGCTGGGCTAACTTTAAGGGGATAACTATACCATGCAGCTTGCACAGGTTGATCCAAGTTAAAGGAGAAGCCTGCTACTGAGAAGACTTTATCAAAAGGCCACAAATCCTGAGATATTGCCAGTTCCTACCGTAACGCAGGCACTGAGCTATCGCAGCCGCCAGCAGCTCTCTCTGGCTAGCTCTGGGAAGCCGAGCTGTTGTCCCCAGCACCATGGTTTACAATTTTTGGAGCTGTTTGCTGATCCCCTGTTTCCAGTCACGCTTTACAAAACTATGGATCAGATTTGGTCTACCTGATGGTATAAAAGTTGAACTTTGAAAGAGGCAACTAGTTCAGGTAAAGCCTGTGTTTGCCAAAGCTGAGTTCTGTGCCCCAGCATCAGCTACACAGGGAAACTAATGAACAGTTTCCTGAGAACACCGACTCTGAAGGGTTAACCCATTTAAAGCACACTCATAGCCAACCACAAACATATCTCCTGAGCAAAGGCTGAATACACCAGGAAGTTCAAAGGTCCAAAAGAAACACATAATTTAAGAAGTTTATTAAAAAGAAATTAAAAACAGATCTACAATTTTTAAAAAAGTCAACTAGGAAATTTTGTGGTGTAAATTAGAAGACAGCAGCAGGCAAGACCTTGTCGGGTTCCCGGAGCACAGCTTGCTTCATGTTAAAAAGGGAGCTGTGGTCATCCGATAGCTGGCAGTGATAAGGCCATAAATAAGTTTAAGGCCACAGGTAAACAGCTGTCTCCTCCAGTTAGAGAGAAAGGGGGAAGCTGGCCACACAGTTTTTGCTTTTTTCCTTTTGCAGGGAAGCAAAACCATTTATTTATTTTTAAGGCTCTAAAAAGATATTCCAACAATGAGGAAAATCGAGTCTATTGTAAAGAAAAAAAACACAACACCAAATGCAAATTCCTGTTGCTAGCATGAGACACCCGAGATTAATTGGGAGATATTAAAAAAAGCAACTGGCAGCCCCAGGAGGCAGGCATGCTTCTCCCTTAAACTCGCGAGCGCCGCGGAGGGTGAATCGAGCTCCGCTTCCAGCATGGCCCTTCCCAAAGGCTCAGCTGAGCCCAGGACACGACCTCGGCTGAGGACAAGCCCCGCTGCTCCCACAGAGCGCGTGGCTGAGGGTAGCTCCCCATAGCTACCTCAGAGCAAGTATTGAAAAGCAAATAACCCCCCAAGCACCTTCCCGTCTTCTTGCTCCCCTAAAAAACCGCACAACTGAAACACACAGTTCCACATCTTCCTTTCCAAGGAAAGGAAAAAAAAAAAAAAATCATTAAAAAAAGAGAAAAAAACCCAAATGGTGGGTGAGAAGCATTAGTCACGCTGCGTCGTGCGCTGTCGGGACGCACCGGCGCGTGCCGAGGAGCGTGCACCAACCTGCAGCCAGCAAGAGCCTGCCAGCTACGGCTGCGCGGCGCTGGGGACGAGGCTGCCTCCAAAAAGGCCGACAGAAGAAGCGACAAATCCTGCCGTTATGTAACGGTTGACAAATGCCTTTTGTTATGCAAGACAAGTGGGAGAAAAAATAAGCATCTTTGCCCTTTGTGGGAAGGGAACAGCAGTCGGCTCCCTGCTAGAGCATAAACAACAGGCTGCGGATCCGGGAGGGGGAACCGGCGTTCTGCACAACAGAAATAGATTATTTGGAAACGCCTCATTATTTAGATGAGTGAGCACAAAAAAACAGAATCAATATGTAATTAGTAAGCGATTGAGGTTGTCAGCACAGTAATTTCATAATTTTGTGAGTTTTGTTAAAGGAGAGAGGCTAGCAAGCAGCTGTCCGCTCTCCTTGCTCACGGGTTATCTCAGAATCAGGGATATATGTCTCCTTCCCTCACATCTGGGCTTTTAAGCCTTTTTTATTACTATTATCAAAAAAATCCCAAAACCCAAAAAACACAACCACATTTGAATTTAAACTTTGGTCCCAACTCTCTGTTTTTAGACTTACTGAGAATACCAGACCACCTTCTCAGAGCGAGAACAGAGCATCATTTTCCTTTGCAACCTGCTGGCTGCCGCACACTGCTGAAAGCTGTAGAAATCAGCCCCCCGTCTCAGTCTGAGAGAGGAAAGAAATAAGTCTTCTGGGCTCTCTGGGGCTCTGGAAGTTTTAAAAAAAGAAAAAAAGAAAAAGAGCATGACCACGGGCAACACAGAAGTTATTTTTCCCTGGGGTAGCCCAGCCGGGCGCGCGGCGCTGGCGGCCGCTCTCCGTCCCACCGCCCTTCGGCCGTTCAGCGCAGGGCCCCACGGCCACTCCAGCCGTCCTCCCAGTGCACAGCGTGCCACAAAGCGACAGTGACATCCAGTGGCAGCGCGCACCCGTCCACAGCACCCCCCACCCGGGACAGTGGGGCCCAGCAGCACCCAGGTCCCCGTGACACACGCTTGAGCCTTGGTTCAAACGCAACCACCGAACGGCACCGTCAGCTACAGCCCATCTCCCCACGGTGCCTGAACTATGACAGTCCTCTCCCTGCGAAGGGTTCTTGCTTTGAAACACAGATTTTTAGGTGCTGGGGTAGATTGGGCTGCACAAATAGCTGAGCTGGGCTGCGCATCCACGCAGAGGAACGGAGACAGCACAGAAAACACAGCTTTGCAGAGGCCAGCGGGGCTCGCTGCTGGGTCGGATGAAGCCTCGGATCTCAGCGGCGAGGAGCAAACACTTCACAGGGCGAGGATTCCCGCAGACAGTAGAGTCGTTTCTTAGCTCGTTCCTGCTGCCACCCAACAGAACCGTGGTTAAGCAAGAGTTATTGCCCAAGCATGAGTCAATGTGTGGTGTTTGCTCATGTAAATATATTTTAAAGTGTTGTTTTTTTGGTTTTTTTTGTTTTCTTTTGTTTCAGCAATTATGCTGTCCTTCAGAAAACCCAGATCCAGTTCCAGGACTTGAAGGAAAGAAACTGAAGCAGCTTTACGTCACTTGGGGTCTCTGCAGAGGTACAAGAGACGCGCAGGAACACCTGGGTCAGAGACAGTCACCACCAACACACCCTCAAAGTTACCGCCCAGCAGCAAGGATGACAGATGAGAGGTACGTGCAGTAGCCAGTATCACGTTGGCACCAAGCATGAAAAGCATCTTCCTGCTCAAGTAGAGCCACCTACGCTTGGCATTTTTGCAAAAGGTTCATCAGGTGAAGACGTGATCAGTGGCGGAGCCAGAGGAGTTGGGCAGGTTGAACTGCTGTCTCAGAAGAGACACGGGAGTAGGTAGAACAGCAGCCAGAGAAGCTACTATAGCATGAGGTAGTAGTAAGGAAGGAGAAGACATCCCTTTGTTGGCCCGTGTCGGTTGGCATTAATTAGTGTGTCTTTACATAGCAATCTGGCTATGTAAAACATACTTGTGGTTCGCCGTTGGGCCCACCCCAGCAGAGCCACACACGCTTGTCTTCTGGAGCAAAAATGCAGACCAACCTGTAGCAGGCGTGTTTGCTCACCAGAGTCCCTGGCAGCCTGTTTACTCCAGCCAGAACTCCGGCATATGCAAACCCCGAAGGAGGAATGGAAAAGGGACATGGGAAGCAATTGCTGACGAGATCGGCTTTGCCACAAGCAGGTACCACAGTCTGCCTGCGGAAGGAGGATTTGTCCCACATAAGCCTATTTTCAAGCTGCTAAAATGCAATCACATGTCCTGTGGGAGTTCTCATGTACTCATAACCATCTTGCTTTTCATCTCTTTTCTCCACAGTCTCTCTGTTTACCTCTAGAAAAGTCCAAGCTGGTATTTAACAGCTCTGAGGGAGCACTTAAAATCCAAATTGATAAACTGAAAGTCAAAAAACAAGAGCTAGCTAGACAGCGTGATCTGAGTAGGAGTCCCACAATAACCTGCCGGCTACGCGGCTCCAGGCAATCCTCCTCCGCTTCTCTGCTTCCCTGTAAGAATGGGGAGAATACCACCCAACCAATTCTTACGTAGATAAATGCACCAGAGGCACAAAGTGCATGAAACGCTAAAAATTAGTGCAACTGAAACGTAATGAACATAGCAAGGGCTTGGGATTGTGTGAGCACCTGGGTGACGAGCTGTCACGAGCAGCCTGGTGTTCCTACATATTTCTGGTGACAACCTATTTGTAGCATTGAACCACACGCAGGATCCACCCAGTAAAGCCCCCAGAGGACAGCTTGGGCATACCAGTACCCGCTCCTGTAGTGGATACAGCTTCTCAGGGTTCAGCCTCCCATTTACTTTGTGGTTGTTTTTGTTTTTAAGGTTCTCACAGACAGCTTCGGAGGTCGGCAGGAAGACAGAAATCAATTGATACAGTATCATCACCTGAACAAAAAGCAGCAAATAAAGAGTCTTCATGGCTTCCCAAAACCACAAAATACTGAAATACTTGCAGCGTCATAGCAACAAGCTGTGACCCAAGCAAAATGAAAATTATGCTATTTTAAACCGTGTGATCTTATTTATTATTATCCTGGAGCTTCCCAACGGCTGCGCACTAGATCGAGACTTGATCGAGGGTGTGTAAGTATCAGACCTACCTTTACTATTTGTAGTATAAACCCCAATAATTGAAGAACAGTGTTTGTAAGGCAACGGGCAGCTGCTCCTTTCCTTGCTACGGCAGAAACCCTCTTCTGACGAGAGCAGCGTCTGTTCCCCATTCATGTCTACTCAAACATACATGTGCACACAAACCCTCCGCACGGTCAGCAGCCGTACCGACCAGGGAGGAGGGAGCGAAAGAGGAAGGGAAGAGACCAGTGTATGGAATATATTCTGGTAAAAAAAAAAGGTTTCATAACTTTTACACACACACTTGCCATTTCTAACTGTTTTAGGCAAACAACGGCCATGAGCCTGTACACACATCAGTGTTCTTCGCAGATGCAGCAGCTGCCATCCATCGATCCAGACCGAGATGGCTGTAGCTCTGTTTGACTGCTGCTGCAGGACAAGACTCCTCTGAGAGCTAACGCTTCGGGACAGGAATAATAAGTCACAACAGTAACAAAACTGGCTGGTTTGTAGTGTAGGGTTGGCTAGATTTGATGGTAAATTTGATGATATACAACATCAGAAACATCAATAGCTTGGCATGGAAATTTTTTAGTCTGATCAGTAAAAAACCCAAAAATCCTTCCTTGCTACATGCTAAAAATCAGATGGTTGGGTAAAGGGTTTAGTTATTGCCTTCAGATCTGAACTCAAGCAAGAAAAATCCCTCCTAGATCCCTTTGGAAGGGCAGATAACACCAGCTGCTTTTAGAATCAAGACAACAGATTTCCTTTTTAAACGGCATCTTGGATCACATCCACAGACCTTGGCAAGAGACTAAAGTCCCTGGCTCTGCTGCCCGCGGGGGCACCGCTGCCAAGCGTACGCAGAAAACTGGTCGTGAGAGGTTGTGAAGGAGGATGTTGCGCGTTGCCTTCACCGGGCAACAGATTCGGCTTCTTGCCTCGGGTTTCATTGTACGTAAGAGCAGACGCTTGCGTGGTTCAGAAGAACGTGAGGAATTTTCTTAGAATAATAGAATATTTCTTTCAGCTAAAGGTTTTGAACTCTCTCGATAGCACACACTCCAAACCAAATGTAGTAGCACATGTAGCTGCATCAGAAAAATACTGTATGCCCTCAAAATGTCACACTTGTTTAAGACATAACTGAGCAAGATCAAAGCCTGCTCAAGACTTGGATTATTTTACAGTTTTTCCAGTAGGACTTGAGGTGACTTAAAAGTGACAGGAAAGCTCTCAAGGAAAACTGAGCTCTGCCAGAAATAACCTCACAGTTTCCTGACCAGATGACTTGGGCAAAGAGAAAAGATTTCACCTTTGGAGGTCCCTGCTCTAAATGTATGACGAGAAAACCTTTGGTACAGACTACAGGATGCATCCGCGCTACTCCTGCGACGTTACAGGGATTGCTTTTTCCTGCAGTTTAATTTTGGAAGCTGACAGGCAGCGGTGCTACCACAGCAGACTTGCACAACTGCACGGCTTGTAGCGCCCAACGCACATTTCCTAACCCGGGCTGTTTGCTCTATTCCATTTAAATGGAGCATCAGGGAATTCATGGAAATGTTGCACAACCTTAGCTTTGGCTCTTAAAGAAAGTAAGATCTTAACGCGTTTTATAAATTGCCAATGCGTAGTGTAGAACCAAAGAAAAAACAAAGAAAAAAAGACACAAACCCCCACCTTCCCCCACCAAACCACAACCTGAAGAGATGCAAGCCGAGGCCGCTGTTGACAGCTAAGTTCAGGACAGCAAAGCACACATTTTGTGCCGTAGGAAGCAGAAACTTTGTTTGGTGGGAAACAAAGGATGTCAGGAATAAGCAGAACTTGTACTGGCCACGGCCCCGCAGCAGCGATGCCTCGTGGCAGCCGGTCACCCTGGGATGGACACGTGTCCCCAGGCCAGGAGCCAGCCCCGCCAGATGCACTACGCTTTCTGCCTCTCCCTGTGCTCCAAGGGAGTCCAGGGGAACGTTTCTCTTAATGCTTTAAAAAAAGCCCCAAACCACCCACAAACCAAGCAGCCCCCCCCCAGCAGCCAGTTCTAGGGGCATTGGGAGCACATTTCGTCAGCATGAGGCAGAGCGTGATCCTCGCTATGTCAGCCTTTTGGACTTTGCTCAGATGAACCAGGGGAGGAAAGTCATGACTGGGAGGCAGCTCTTACCCACCTTGATTTGTTGCCTTCCCAAAAATCAGCAGTACGGCCTCGTACCTCTGTTTTCAACAGCAGGTTACTTGTACCTGGGCAGGAACAATTTGGGGTTTTGTTGTTAATTCTTCCTTCACACCAGCTGAAGCAAATAGACTTTTTACTGAGTCCCCTGTTGTTGGTTTGTGCTTGGTAGTTTGGCTTCAGCACTCCCGAAACATCAACATTTCCCTGGGGAAAAGGGAAAGAATTGAGAAAGTTGCAGGAACACACGCGGACGCCTGGGGACTTGCATCTTTCACCCATATAAATTTGGATGGATACGACGTATCGGGCTACACAACCACAAAGGGGACTGCCACGGCCCTGAGGGCTTCAGCCTCAGCACCTCTGGAGTCATCCTGGTTTTACAAAAGGTGAACCCGGCACAGAGACCTTACCTGGGTTCCTCAGGGTGCGGCACATTCCAGTTAAACTCGGCCTCCCAACAGCTGGACCAGTGTTTGAAGGCATTTTTCCTTAGAAAACTGAAATTGCAGACTTGGGAAATGAGGGTTGAGCGCACAACTGGAGGGTTATAGGGCACTTACAGCCAAATTGAAGACAAACTCAAATGACTCAGAAACCTGATGGTATAAAAACAAAAGCTCCTAGAAATGCTGCTTTCCAGCAGCCACACAAGATGCTTTTGTGCGGTGATTGCTCACTTGCACAAAAGACTTTGTGTTCCCGTGGCTACTTTAGGGGAAAAAACCTCAACAAGCAGGGAAGGATCCACGTCCGACAGCTAACGCGGGCTCTCACCCTCCCACGGTTCACACTCCACAGCGATCCGATGGGCTGAGCCGATTGCCGCTGCAGCTCACAACACCATCTGTAGTGATTTGCCTGTAAAGGCATCTTGACATCTTCACTTTGTACCCACGAGAGCAGCCAAGCGTTAAGGATTACAGCAAGTGCCCAGATGAACGTGGAGCAACTGGCACGTACGGCGTGTCAAAGGTGAGAGTCTTCAGAAGCGCCATGAAGGACCAGAAACAACATCATGCCATTTGCTTTCTCCTGGAAATGCTCTCAGACTGCCCCATCCCAGTGAAACGTGGAAGCCTGGGAGAAAAAGGGTTTCCCTGGATCTGGACACCAGTACAAGACACAAGGACCACCACCCCACCCAAAGTCTCATTCCAGACCTGCTCTATAGACTAGAGCAAACGAGACCCTACCCATCTGCTCCTGAACGCAGGGAACAAACCCGCCTGCTCCTTCTCCCGAGGCCTCGCTGGGTGGTTGGGATACAGCCGCCTTCCAGGAGCTTTTCCGTAGCTGGAAATTGGAGAGAGCCGCGCGGCTCTTCGTTGGCAGCGAGGTTTTAGGGAAGTTTCCAGATAAATCTACGTAAATGGTCACTCGAATTATCAACAAGTTGAGAAGGGGAAGAAAACAGAACCCAAATGAACTACGGCACCTCTCCCCGTGGAAGCGCTCTCGTATTATAGAGGACATGCCTGGAAATTGGGTCTGGTCCATGGAAATAGCCAGAACCACCTCCTCGTTGCAGCTTAAGACATTTCAGCTTAAAACTGGTGGTGGCTTCACAACGCTGCTGAGCACAACCTCCTCCTCCCTCGGAAGGGGTAGGACGTTCTTCCTCCTGGGCATGTGCAGGGCTGGTTTTCTTTTTGTTTTAAAAACTCATTACAGTCAACTAGCAATAGCTAAAGGTATTCTCACATACAGACATCACCACTCGGACATAGTATAGTCTGAACTACAAATACCACTTCATCTGTTCTGGGAGTGCGTTGTCTGAAGAGTCTCATTTCAATAAATAGAGTAGAAATACTAAATAGAGTAGAAATACTAAAGCCATCAAAACATATAGCCCAGTTAATTGCTTCATTTTTAATTCAACTGCTGGCATATCAGAAGATCCTAGGTGAAAAGGCAGCCACATTTACAACTCGATGTACAGTAAAGAGGATGAAACACAAAAGGAAGGGGCTGGCTACAATGAAAGCACCCCCAAAGCTGTATGATCAGAGATTTATGGAAGCCAGATCATCTTGCTCAAGGAAAATTAGTCAGCTTCTTCCAGTAGTAACAGCAGTAATGGTATCAGAAGTTACCCAACCAATATTTATTCTGGGTTTGAAGTTAACTGGATAAACCGGACACACTCGCAGCCTGACCGCATGACCTGCTCTCCCTACGGTTAATTCATCAAGCCAACAGCGATACACTGTCCTCATGTCCCGGGGGGCCGCGCCGGAGCGAGTAGTCAGGAGGTGGAAGCTGACACAAGGGGGGGTAACTCACTCCAAGGAGGTGTGCAACTCTCCTCCACCTCTACGGAGCCAGCCTGGGCGCACGCCAGGGCTGGGCTCACCGGAGTAAAGGTAACGTTGGCAAAATGGCTCAGAGGCGGCGACGAACGCAGACCCGCTGCAAGCCAGCGCCCCAGAACCTGCTTTCAGGTAACCTGGCTTCTGGTCTTGCTCTAACTGACCATTGAGAAGTAGATACAGCCCAAACACCCACTTCTATACATGTTACGGTAAGGCGGGAGTAAAGGGGAGCAAGGGGGCAGATATTCATCGAAAGCCAAGTTTAAACCGAATTCAATGCAGATACTTCAGAATGCGGGAACACTATATTTATTAGGTCAATATCTCATTTTAGCAATACAATTACAGAATATCACAATGCTGGTTACAAACATAGTATGGTTTGATGGTTACAAATGATGTCGGGCACTGCAGTCTGTGAGAAGTAGGATACGAAACGTTTGTCTTGACACGACACGTAGGGTGATCTCCAACGTCTAGTAATGATCAAGATACTCTCATATAAATGAATGTGGCACTACAGGTAGAGATTCTGGTTTAGAGGTGGTTTTTGTATAAGTAGTTCGATTTATACAGTTATACAGTTCAAGCAACATCTCTTTTAAAATGCTATTAAATTAAAATCCCCTGTAGTTCAATAAAGTATAAAAATAGTACTGAACCTGGTAATATTCAATAAAATGTAGAGTTCATTCACATCGTTAAGTAGTAAAGAAACTGTAAAGTTGTAGTTACCATGGCAACATCGCTTCCCATAAAGGAATATACATAAGAGAAAAAAAGTTACACATATGGTACCTGCGACAATTATTTAGCCATCCAACACTGAACTTGTGCACCACAAACCAAGTTTCTAAATATCTCTATATATTTATATAGTATATATCTTTTTCATCTTAAAATTTACTTTCAGAAAAAAAAATGTGCACTTCAACAAACTCACTAAGGCCACTCATGCTATAGATACCTAGGATTGCAATGAAATATTGTTAAACGAGACCCTAGAGCACGCACCTTTATATCACCAAAGGGAAATCTGTTTCACTGCCTGAAACATTCCTGAGATTTAGGGACAAGAGCATTACCAGTGCCGCCAATTTTTCGTACGCAGTTTAGTTTATTTCTAGGTAAAGGAAATTTCTTCCCCGCTTCTCACAGAAATCCTCGCAAGGCCAAGGATCAACGTGCAACAGGCCAGTCGTGTCAAACATGGAGACGCCCACAACAAAGACTCAGATTTGCAACTAACAGTTGGCCAGTGATGATCTTATTACAAAACATAAGAGAAAAAATAAAAGGGGAAACAATGACCTTGGGATAAAACACGGTTTCTGCACAGGCAGCAGAGGGAAGGATCTCTGTTTAAAGACTGATCACAGCAACGTCTCCCCCACGCCATTTGCTGCTAGCCCACGAAGTCAAATCCGATCCGTATAATCTTAGCAATAGCTTCAGTCATGTTTTAGGCACGATGCATTTTCCTTTTTGTACTCTACAATACGTAGGACTATAAAAAGGAAATCAAGTTAAATGTGCATTTTTTTGTACCAAGAGAAGCAGTGCAATGGCACCTTTAGCAAACTTCAGACCACAGCACATTTAAAGAAAAAAAATTTAGTTACACAAAAAACATTGTTGTCCTAATAAGTTAGAATTCAACAACAAAACCCCCTCAAAATTACTTAACAAAAACTGTGTGCGAAAGGAAAACAAAGTCTTAAATGATCAGTATCGATAGAGAATACGTATGAAGACTAGGACACCGAGGCAGACATTTACTGGCTGTGATTAATATCGTGCTAGAAAAGTGACCAAACAACTGTTTCGGGCCAAATAGTCACTAGTTGTTTTACTTCAAGTAGCTGAGAGAACTATTTATTTTCAAATATCTTTCTGCAACCTTCCCCTTCCATAACAAGGCAGCCAGAACAGCCCCCGGCCCAAGAACAGCGGAGGAATCCCGACATCACCTTCCTCCCTCTCTCTACAAGCGTAAAACGGGACATACAAATTACTGATTCAAACAACATTACGCTGAAAATAAAATACTAAGGGTTTAATTTAAACAAAAGTTAAAATACTTTTCCTTAAGGTAACACCTGTCCTCACCACTTGTGTCCAATTACTCCGCTGTGATTCAATTACTTACCTTCAAGAAAAAGTCTGAAGATGCATTTCACTGGATTTCCACTCACGGGTCTGCCCCTTTAATGCCAGCACCAAACAGCACCCGCTCAGCTGGCGGTAGGTGCATTGTGCGTCTATAAATGCCAATACTTAACATTATCTAGTGCTTCATCGTTGGCTGCTTCGGTCACAGTGGGCACGAGCTCTCCCAACATGCAAGGCTAGCGTACAGCCCCCGTCCCCAGTACTCGCATTCGGACGGGCACCCTGTTCTGAGGGTACGACAGGAGGGGAACCCCCCAGTTCTGGGGAGGGAGGGAGGTGCAGGGGTTGCGTTGGCGAGTTCTGCCCCGGAAAACTGCACAGTATGGAGAACGTAGGGGATTACACCCTCTGCTCCTTCAGCTCTGCCTGGTGCAGAAGGCATGAACTCCTGAAGTAATACTACAAGATCTACTCCAACCACATCGGCATGGAGGGACATGTCATTTTCTTTCCTCTGAAGTCAGCCAATTTCGCGAAAATACCACACAAAAAACTGTAACAGAGACAGACACAACATCTCAAATGCCCTCCCCAGGCTGAGAACTCAATTTAGGAGCTACAGAACCAAAACTAGAAAGCTGAGTTTTATTCTATTAAATACATGGAGGAAGTATCACACCTGCAGCGAGGACAGCATTAGGCGAAGGTTCGGAGCTACGGCATGCGGAGCAGGCGGAGCGCCCTGTGGGCAGCTGCAGAGCTGTTCTGCAAACCCCCCGTGCTTTCACAACTTTAGCTATCAGCCACTGTTACCTTTGCCCTGAATTTACGTGCCTTGGCACGACTGGAGTGGTGGAGATGCTACAATGAGAAGTTCAACCCAAGAGTTAAGTCAGGATTTCATTCAGTCACATGAAAAGCATGCTAGTAGTCCTACAAGGATCACTGTGACTGCTCTTGGCCAAGTCACATTTCTTGGCCAAAGTCCATTATCAAAGAGAATTCTGAGTGACTTTTAGGACCGTAATTCCTTCCAGACAAGCCAGCACATCAAAAGCATATAACATGCCAGTGAAGCGGCTTTAGGAAAGGAAGAAAAGTACATCTACCCCGCAAGATTAGAGAATAAAGCTATCAATCAAACAAATTGAACTAACACGCTTGGTTATCAGAGAGAAGTGTAACACCTCCCTAACCTGCCCCACGTTGGAAGCTCTCCTGGTTGCCCCAACTTGAAGGAAACCATGAAACACATATACGAAGCAGAGCTGCAGTAAGAGCAGTGGTTCATGGAGACCACTTTCACCGGTATCTGTCAACTAGCGCTCCTCATCCCAAACGCAGAACCTTGAGATCTTTGAGATTCCTTAGTCAACAGCTGGAAACGGAGACCCAAGACCGGAAACCCTGAGCAAATAAATGGTCTCCAGAGAATGTAAGTGAATCCATATACCCAGTTTGAAGCTTTTAAACACTTCTGCGGTACAGAAACTACACAGCTTCTTTAGAACAATTTTAAGCACACCCTCCTTGCCTAAGTTCTGACACTAGTATTATGTACTTAATTTGAAGTAGTTTCAATAGGACTTAAGAATTCCTAAGAACTTTATAATTCATCAGTGCCCCGCTCTATAGACATTCCAGGATAACAATGTTTTGCCTTGTAGATAGCTAAATTTGTTTGTAGTACCTAAAGCAGTCATAAACAATTGCTATAAATAAATTAGATTTTAAATCCACGCATAATTTTAAGTTGATTTTCACTGATCAGCCATTCAGGATATACTGCAGTCTAAGTCTTAATACCACAAGAGTTTTTTATGCAAATACTTCTTTTCACATCAGTGAAGATATTCCAAGAATGCACTCATTAAATTTGCATTCACTAATTACATAACTGCATTTTAAAGTTGGTATTATTCAGCCTTTCCCCCAAAAATAT